AGAAAATGAAGAGAATGTGTGTATGCACAGGCCTCACAATAACGCATTTAAAAATATGACGAAAACTACTAAAAATAGTGTGCAAAGGGAAAAATTTAAGACAATTGGGTAAAAGGCAGTATTTGAACTTTGAAAACGGTATTGCAACCTTTACTCCATGTAGGTTTAAATTTCGGAGTTATATAGTTGATCTTGTTAATTGTCAGTACAAAATCAAAGGCATTTCTTTCAATGCTCTAAACCTATATATATATATATGTAATATAAAGATAAAATTTAAATTCGTTTTTAAGAACAAATGAACCATCCTTAACTTTAATGTGTATAAATGCATTCAATAAACTGTACGACTCCGGGAACTATTATATTGGATTGATTAAACAAGCTTGATTTCTGTAATGCAGTAATATGGTTTTAATACACAATTCAGCTTACGAATGTGAATTGCTGAATTGTATGGTAATACCGTATTATTGCATTTTGGAAGTTAAGGCAAGTTTATAAGAAGCAACTATGCTTTTCTGACTTAAGTATAATATGCAAGTTATAAATATTGTACAAAAATTGTACGAGAGTCTAATTCTGAAGCGAAGATATGAGGCATTACTGCAAGTTTAAAGTTAGGGTATATAAATAGGTTTGGTTTCAATATGAATTATATAGATGATAATAGTTATTTCGCATTTACTAAAAACAAAAAAATAAATTTAAGAAAATAAAATCAGTATTAATAATAATAATAAATATATTAATTTTTTTCTTTTTATGTTTTCTTTTTTTTAATAAAAATGTTATAATTTATTTTATAATTATTTAACAGATTCAGAAAATTTTAGTAGATAACAACTATTATATATTTTTTTTTGTTTTGTTTTAAGCAGTTGCAATTACTATTTTTTATGAGTATATTTTACAATTAAATAGTTGGATATGCAAATACAATTTATACTAAATATATATAATTTGTACATAATATTATATACATGATATATTTATATATATATATATTGTATATATGACATATTTGTTTTGATTTCGTCTAAATATAATACATAAAAATTTTTAAATATTAAATATTTATTTTCATTTATATATATATATATATATATATACATACTTAAATTGGAATTTATATTAATTTATAATAATAAGAAAGTATATATAGAACACAAAAATATAAAAAGAAAATATTATCGTAATTACACGTTCATTATAAAAATTATAAATGATAATCATATATCATATAATAATAATAATAATAATAACAATAATAATAATAATTAAAATAATAATAACAATAATAATAAAAAAATAACAATAATAATAATAAAAATAATAATAATAATAAAAAATAATAATAATTATAATATTAATAATAACAATATAAAAAATATTAAACTTAGCCATATCAAAATACCCTGACTTTAAAATTTTAGTAATATTGTATGAATATACTCAATTCAGCAGCAATTATATAGCTATAATAACATTTTGAATCAGAGATTATAGTATGTAGGTACATCACCAAACAATTCAGTTCATAAATTCTAATTGAGTGATTTTTTCTCAGTCCAGTATGTGTCAAAGATTTGTCAAAACAAAACCATATGAATTGCGTCAGTACCTCGATTTTTGCAAATGAAAATCATTCGTAAATTAAGCAAAAGTTTTGCAATTTTCATTATTTTAGATCACTTATTTTTCATAGAAGTTTTGAAAAATTTAAGAATAGAAACAAAATTATCAATTGACAATGTTATAATATAACCAAATTGTCATCCACATTTAACTTCAGTTGCAAGCATTTTACATATTATGTGGAAGATTCCGCTTTATTACTGGGATTCTGATGTCAGACTATATACAATTTTATACATAATAGTATATAAATTTAAAGTAAGAATGTCATATATATTTGACATACATAATATATATCAGATTTATGAATGTAATATTTAAAGAGCAATTTGTGTACATTTTAATTATTAAATTTTAAAAAAATTTTCTAAACATTTGTCAAATTCTCAAAATTCCAAAATAAATTATTTGCATTTTAGATTTTACAAAGTTAGGTGTATTTATATATAGGTATATCTATAAGTGTATATATATATTTTTTTTTCTATATTATAAAAAAATAAAAAAAAATACAACCTAATGTTTAAATTATTACGTGTATTTTTATATTTAATTAAGCAATTTAACAATAACATAGACTGAAAATAAAATATTAGCGCATAATCTTACAACACACTTTTATTGTCAGGCATAAATAGTATTTGAATTAAGAAATATGTATATATATATACATATGCCTTGAATTCTAAAATGCAGTAATGCGGTATTAATTAACCAATTCGAACTTATAATTGTGTATTAGTACAGCATTACTGCATTTTCGGAGTCATAAATTTATACCATTATCTTACGCCATGCTACGATTTGAATCGCATCCATATATATATATATATGTAAATACATATATAATATTATATATATATATATATATATATATATATATATATATATATATAAATATATATATATGTATATATATGTATATATATATTTATATATATATGTATATATATATATATATATATATATATAAAAATATATATACATTTATATATATAAATATGTATATATATGTATAACTATATATATATATATAGATAGATACATAAATGTACATATACACATACACATTTGATAGATTATTAGAAGAAAAATAAAAAAGATTTTTCACAATATATTTATTAAAATTTGGGAATTACAGCTAATATTTTTTTATATAAAATAAAAGTTTAAAACCACTGTGCCCTTGGACATCGGAATTTCAGTTATACTATGAGCATATCTACTCAGCATAATACAATTTTATAATTACTTAATGAATCAAATTTTGCATTGGATCTGGCTTTTTTTACACGTCCTGTGTTTCATTACATAATTTGGTATTTTAAATTCTTAAGCTCAATTTATGTGTATAAATTCACTATGTAATATTACCAAAATTTTGAGAAAGTTCATATATGCATATATGTACATATTTGCATATATGCAATATATTAGAACGTTAAAAATAATAATTCACAATAAATTCAAATTTTCTATTTGTATGTTTGTACATGTACATATACATAAATTTAAAATTTCTTTTGCATTATTTTTTAAAAATAACTATGATTATAAGAAAAAAGTAATCAGAACTAAATATTGACCTTGATATTGTGGACGTTCAATAAAAATACAGTTATAACGGTATATTTTGATTTACTCAGTTATTAAAAAATTGTATTGTTGAATAAGCTGAGTTAGATCTGTATTTAAATACAGTAGATGTCCTTTACTATACTGATGATATAATCAAAAGTTCGAAATATCAGATCACCTGTAAGTACATAAGTAATTCCGCGCTGTAACAGGTGATTTGAAAAAGATGATTTTTGTATAAATATCCTAACTTCAATTACGAAAGAATAAGTTTATGAATTATAATTGCGAAATTAAATTATTAATATATACCGTATTTAGCATATAAGTAATATTTTGTTGCAAGTTACAATAAACAAGTTGCGTAAAATCTAAAAATCGTATGTATATGATTATGTACGTTAATTAAATTAAGTTAATTTCAAGATTTTTTATTTCAGTAATACGGTGTTGTACTATAATATACGCAATTTAGTAAACTAAAACCAGCAAGCGAAATTATATATTAATATTATTGAGTTCCATAATATACTATAGTGTATCGTTGAACATAACAAAAAGAAACTTACATTTGAATTTAAATGTATGTTCAAGCTCGGTGACATGAGTAAGGCTAAAATGCTTCGTATGGAGCCGATGTCCACTGTATATTGTTAATGACTGAGCTTAACTGAGTATTTAGTGTGTTACAGTTGTGTAATCCTTAAATTTAAAAAAATCTATACAATATATCTACACAATATATCTATATATATATATATCTATATATATATCTATATATATATATATATATATATTTATATATAATCAAAGAAACTTTAAAATCGTAATTTAGCCATAATACTTAGTTATAAAAATTACTATACTTAGTTATCAAGTTATAAAATAAAAAATTTGGCGTTTAAAGAATAATATATGCATTCACATAAGTTATATGAATTAGGACTTAAAATAAGATTTTTCTAAGATATGTGCACGGGCTCTTCATACGAATGAAGCGTTTTGGATTTGCTCATCGGTGCTGTGATACACATGGGACGTGTCGCTAAACTATAAAAAATCACTAGAAATGATATAATGATATTTATCGTAAAAACTTTAAAAACAGTTTATTATAGATACGAATCATTTATATGAATTGATTTTTTATACAATATAATCATTTACGGTAAATTATCACTACATTACTTCTAATGATTATAGTGACTCAGAACATAAGCCCCCCCCCCCCCCCCCCCACCCTGTATATTATTACAAATTTTAAAGTCAGGTTTTCTTATTTTGTAACAATTAATGTGTATTAAAACTATTATACAAATAATATATATACAATGTAATATATATATATACATTTATAAGTATGTATATATAGAAAATTTGAATTTGAAATAAAATTAAAAACTATATTTTTTGGTCGAAACTAGCGAGACTTTAGGCAGTTTATTTTTTCCTTATTCAACAACAAAAATTTTTAAAATATTATACAAATAATTTAATTTTTATTATTATTATCATTATTATTAATTACATTATTATTTAACTATCTTCAGTTTTCTGCATTTTTTTTTTTTTGTTATTTACTCTTTCTGTTTCTCCATATTATGTTTATTTATTTTATTTATGATTAATATATAAATTTAATTTTTTTTTATCGTTTTTTTAATATCTTTTATTTAATATGTGTGTGTATTTTTTTTTTCGTTTTTTTGTTTTTTAATATTATATTTTAAATATGGTTGGGTTGTTTTATTTTTGCTGTTGTTTTTTTTTTTTGTTTTGGTGTGTTTTGTTGTTTTTGTTTTTTTTTTTTTTTTTACATTATAACACTTCCTTTTTTGTTCTCATTTTTATTATTTTTGTTAATTTATTTATTTTTTTTTTTTTTGTTTTTTTTTTTTTATAATTGAGGAAAAAATGGTTCATGTAGTTTTAATGTTCAATATCACTTCTTGTAAATTTTTAATTTTTAAATTATTTATTTTCTATTTATTTATTTTTAATTTTTGTTATTAATTTTTTTTTTGTTTTTTGTTAATTTTTTCTTTTTTAATTTAAAATATATTTAAATATATATATATACATATGTATATATATATATATATATATATGCATTATATATATGTTATATATATATATATGTATATACATACATGTATTTGTTACATATTTATAATATTATATGGCTTCGATTCTCCATTTTTTCTAATTTTATCAATAATAATTGTAATTTAATTTTTAATTTCTTGGTTTTTATTCTACATTTAAATTTTTTAGCGGGTTTTTTCTTTTTTTTTTTAATTTTTCTCGTTTTTTTTTGTTTTTTTTTTATGATATACATATACTTTTATATATAAATAATTTTACTTATATATTTATATATATATATCCATTTACATATAATTTAAATTTTATACATAAATTTATTTTTGTATTTTTATTATTATTATTGTGGTTCTTGCTGTTGTTTGTTTGTTGTTTTGCTTTTTCAAAAAATATAAACAATAAATAAATAAAAAAAAGGAAAAAAAAAAAAAACAATTTTTTGTTTCATTGTTGTACTCATATTTTTTTTTTGTTTTTTTTTTTTATTATCCTTATCGTTTTTGTTTACGTTTTCTTAATGTTGTTGTTGTTTTTGCTTTTGTTCTATAAGTACATAATATATATATATATATATATAGTTATTTAATATATTGTTTTGTTCTTTTTGTTATCTTATGTGTGTTATTTTATTGTTTAAATTTTGTTTCTTTTTTATCTGTTTTAAACTGCAGTTTCTGTATGACTATGCGATGATAAACGTTCAACATCAATTTCTGGTATTGTTAATTCATCTGGTATATTATCAGCATATTCAATTGATGATGTTTGTGATAATCGTTTACTTAATGATGATTGTTTTCTTAATACCTCAGCTAAAGAAGTATTTGTATGTTCGCCATAACGTGCATCGAGACCTTGACGAAATGCATTTACAACTCGAATCTATATATATTACAGATTATATATAATAATAATATTTGTTATTTTAATAAAAAAAAAGCAACTCAAAACAAAAGGAAAATATATTAATAATAATAATTAATAATAAAAATATAAAAAATTTTCAGATGATTTTCATAGCCAACCACCGCCGCCGCAACAAAATAGTTTGCCGTCATCACATTATCATCATCGCATCATTGTAATTTTTGTCACCAGAGCACATTTGTTTTTTTTTGTATATATGTTAAACATTATTTTTTGTAACATATGTTTAAATAAATAATGTTTATTTGCATATGCAAATATTATTTATAATTGAATATTGCCAATATTTATTTATGATATTTTTTTTAGAATATTCCAATTAATAATTATTATAATTATAAAAAAATTAATTATTTAACAATTTTATATTAAAATATTGAAATATTTTGTCCAACATATATACACATAATCCGTTATAAAAGAAAGAAGGAAAAAAAGAAAAAAAAAAATAAATTGTAAATATATTTTATAAAAGAAACCCACTTAAAAAAGATATATAAAAGAAAATAGAAAAAGGTTTGTTTTTTATTAAAAATATTTTATTTATTTTATTAAATTAATCTTTATAATTTTAAAATAAATATACTTTTATAGTTTGATTTATGTATATATGTATATATAACCTATATTTATATAAAATAGGATTTTCTTTCGAAAAAAATGTAATGAATTAAATTGCAACTTCTTAAATGCATACATATACAGTAAAGACTACAAATATGTTGTAATCTCACTCACTTTTTCATTTGGCTAGCTTCTTGGCCAATAAGCTCTATATATTTGATTTATTTCATAGCTTATTTCGCTTTTGGAATTCCTGAAATAATTGAACTTAGGCAATAATTGAACATATGTTGAAAAAATTGGAAAAAATTAAAACCATGAGAAATTTCCTTTCAAATTTATTTTATTTCAATAGTAATCTTAATATAACGATTTTAAAAGTTCAATTACTTTTAGAATGACTATTTTGGTCAAAAATTAGTAATATCTGCTAACTAAAGTAATAATTAAAGTAGTATTAGCTTTAGCAACTGGGCAAGCTTTGAAAAAAATTTCAAAGTTTCAAAAAATTTCGTAGGAAATTTCGGGTTAAAGAAAACTAAAAGGATAAAAAAAAAGAGTAAATTTGAATACTTGGTATTCCGAAAGGATGTAAAATACAAAATCAAGTTACGTGTTTACTTGTTTAAGTTCTTTACCAGCCCGACCACATCTTTTTCAGGATGAAAGTTAAATAACTTGTAGAAAGTTAAATAACAGTTAGAAATTTCGTGAAAATTCATTAAAATCCCTGTATCTCGGAAACCCTTGAAATTTGCTACCCTATTCGGAACAAAAATTTTACCCATTTTTAATCATCCAATGGTACATGTTCATTCATTTCTGAATCATCTTGTATATGCAAATAAATTTGCGCTAATTTTCCAACTATTCAAAAACAGCGGTTTTCAAAATTGCAATTTGTTATTTTATTATGTTTCTTGTATAATACCTGCCTGTATATTTATACACATATACATAAATTTTTGACATATAAAATACATATATCATGCATCCATTACATTTACCGTAATATACATATACATATGATATATGTATATTATAAATATATGTAGATGTTACGTTAATTAGTTTAAATAAATTTCTATTTACAAAAGTGAAATAAATATGCATATGAACATACATAAAATTGCTATATATATATTTATTTAATATAAATCTAATTATGTTAAACAAATTTTAAATCGAATTGAATTTTTGAGTATATTTTATATTTTAAATAGCTCAATTATCAACGAATCAATGAATTATACAATGATGCAAAATTAGGACAAAATCTCCGATGCCAGAGAAAGTTGATTTTAAATCAATTAGTTTAACATGTATATCAATTTATATTATAATAATTTATGTACATATACATATACTTATTATAATATACAAATTTTATTTTAATTTTAATTTAATTTCGAAATAAAAAGTTACATTCATAAATTCAAATTTTCATATACAGTGAGTGGAATCCGCTTTTAGTCGCACTAATAATTTCATAATCGTATAATGAAACCGTATTTTTCAAATTTTTTATATCGTTTATCTTCTAGACGTCAACATGTACGAGTAGAAGCCTGAAATTTTAGGAACTTTTAGAAATTAAAAAATAGTTTATTTCACTAAAAAAAAATTTTTTTTCCACCTTCATCCTCTTCCATGTTATTGCATAAAGTGCGGAAAATTCAAATTTTACAAAGCTGTTATATTTACAATTTTGTAAAATTTGACTTTTCAATACCTTATGTTTCCGAAGCTCCTACAATTTTCTAAAAATACAGAACGTTAAAGATCATGCATCAAAAAGTGTAATTATTTTTCTTAATTCACACAATTAATCTGAATTCGAGTATTATATTAACAACTCCTTCAATTTTTTTTGTTACCTCACACCTACATGTAGGCAATTTTTAAAAAATTAATTTAAATAGTGTAATAGATTGTTTTTAAGAGCATATTTTCAGCTTGTTGAAGGAAAACATATTAGCAAAAATAAAAGTATTTTATTCCCAGTAAAAAGGATTTTTCATACATCTAAAAAAAATTTGATATTTCGGGAAAATTACCAACATTTTCATTGAAGAAATTTTTGGAAAAGTGGTACTTTACAAACCATTGGATTCGTTTAATTTTATTTTGCTTCAATTTCATCAAATTAAATAAAGCACTTATACTTATACACGATATATCTGCCGCTGAAAATTCCAATTTAAACAATCTTTGAAAATAAGTACAATAACTATTAAACTATTTTTGCAGCAAAGTATTGTGTAATTAAAGTATACTTACCGCTTTGAAAAAATAAAATTGGATCAAACTAATGGTTTGTAGTTAACACTTTTCCCTTCAACAATTAAAAATACTACTTTTAAGAACAATTTAGCTGTGTACTTTATTATTAAAATTACTTTCATTCATATACGAACATATTCCAAAAATTGCATACTTTTAGGGTGAGAATGGTTGAATACATTGCAATAAATCAAAAAACACTTAAAGTGGCGTTAAGGTAATGCTCGAATTTAAAGATAAATTGTGTGAGTTTAGAAAAATAATACGATAATTTGAGAGGGGATAGAGGTATAAAAAAATTGTCTTTTAGCGAAATGAACTACTTAATGCTGGTAAAATTTTAGGCTCCGATATCAAAAAAATGGCTTTCAATTAATGGTAAATATTAATAGCCAATTTACTTTTTTGAAGTTCAAGTATGGTATACTGCGGTAGAAGAAACAAGCCACTTTTTTTTTTGCAAAATTTGAAAAATGCTTATAGTTTCACTGCAGTAAACAGCTGAAAAATAACATTTTTAGGGGTTTTGAGGACTATAATTTTTAAAGGGGGGGGGGGGGGGGGGGGCTAAGATAGGTAAAAATTTTTGCTACGGAAATAGCTTTCTATGTTGTATGAAATTTTAGCTTTCTATCTTCAATGATGTAAAAGTTTTGTAAACATGTCCATGGACGGACGGACGGACGAGCGGACAAACGGACAGACGAACTAACGGATGAACAGACAGAGTGAAACTAATAAGCACTTTTTTTTCTAAATTTTTTGGGAAAGTGTTAAAAAATAGCTTTCGCGATAAATACGACTATATACGACATACTAAAGAGATTTGAAGTTAAGCAACGTTATTCACAAAAAAAAAAATGGTAAACTAACAACCGTCTTGCGCGATCATAAACGTATATGACCACAACAAAATTGAAATACAAAGAAAATATAATAAAAAAAATTTTGACCACGATATTGTTCATTATAACCGAATTATGATTATGCACTTATATAAATTTTAAGAAAATTTACAATATAATAAATTAAAAATATCTGCCACTCTATAAATTGCAATAATACTGTGTATATTGGCTATATAAAATATAGCACCTTATTATTCTGTATTATATTTTATAGAAATTTTGAATGATTATAATTATTAGAAACATCTATAGAGTATAATTTTAATTGTCACCGAATTTTTTTATTTTAAATGTAACTTTTAATTTTATTTTTGTCTATATATTATTTAAAAAATAAATTCAAATTAAAAATTAATAATAAATAATATATTAATATTTATATACATACACATATATATATACAAAAATATACAAAAATAAATTAAAGTAATTTATTTAATATAAAAAAAAATGTCAACAAAACAAATAAAAAATGTAAATAAATAATGTAAATAAAAATTTTATATAGCTTATACAGCAGGGGCTCAGGCAGACATGCAATTTTTAGTTTTGCAACTGTTTGATTGCTTATTTCCATTCCACTGGCTTATATTCAAGGGCAAACAAACATGCAACTGTATAATCGCATGAAATTAGGCAATTAAACAGTTTGTAATTTTTTACAATCAAACGGTTTTGTACTCAAGCAGTAATTACAAAACTAAAAACTGCATACCTGCTTTAGCCCTTATATTTTTATATTACTTTCTATATATAAATATTGTACACATATACATATACAATTTGATATAAAATAATTTTCCATAATGAAGTTCTGGTAAAAAATAATGGTAGTTTTTTTAATTCGAAAACTGTTTCAATATTTCAACTATTTGGCCAGAGCAGTGACTCCCAAAGTGGTTTATATAGAACCCCAGGAGTCCATAAAGACCTTGTAGGGGTTTACGAAGGTGAAAATGGGGATTCACGGAATGAAAATGGGGGGGTTTGAACTTACTTAATTAATGCCAAACATTGATCATTTATAGTATCAAACCATCAAATTCATCCCTCCCATTAAATTATTTTAATTTTTTATAAATATGTGATATATTTAAAAATTAAGATTGAACTTATTTTTTGTTTAGTTTTGCTCATGTAAGAATTATTTTACTTTTATTTAAATTTAAAGACGTATTTCTATGTCGTATGGTTCCGAAA